GATCCACCCCTCAAAAAAAAGCAGGGACAAATGACACCCCAAAAGTATCGATTTTCCCAAATCGATCATTATCTAACAGGCGACGTCATCACCGTCACAATCTCCGTTTAGACTGTGCCAGCGTGTCGTTTTTTCACACGCTGGATGCTAAAAATAAAAGTTAAATCTTTTGCTGTCCAGAACCTTCTTCTTCCCCACACACCTTGGCCTTCTCCCTTTTCTTCTCCCGAACCAGTACCCTCTGCGCCCAGATCCCTTGCTGTTGCGCCCAGATCCCTTGCTGTTGCGCCCAGATCCCTTGCTGTTGCACCTCTACGTCAGCCTTGCACTCCCACGAACCAGCCTTGCACTCCCACGAACCAGCCTTGCTCTACACCAACCCTGCTCTCTGCGCCCAGATCCCTTGCTGTTGCGCCCAGATCCCTTGCTGTTGCACCTCTACGTCAGCCTTGCACTCCCACGAACCAACCTTGCTCTACACCAACCCTGCTCTCTGCGCCCAGATCCCATGCCTTTTGCGCCCAGATCCCATGCCTTTTGCGCCCAGATCACCCGCAATCATACCCCCTGGACACCGGCAATCATGCCCTTGCATGCCTCCTACACCCCCCTCTCTTCTACACCGTGCCCCTGCCCTTGCCGCCTACGCCCCTGTTGCTGCTACTGCACTCTGCGCCCCAATCCCACGCCTTTGCCTTATGCACGCTACAGCCATGCCCCTGCCTCACCTACAGTATTTTAGTTTTTATCTTAATTAATATGTTCGATTTTTACTTTCATTGTTAGGTTTGCAAGTAAAAAGAAACTTCGCGAAAAGTTGGAGAAAGAGAAAAAGAGAAAAGCACCAAAAGGATCTAATCCTCATTGACGGTTCCAGTCAGCTAAAAACCGTAACTTCCGGTGCTATGTTGGCGCTACCAGACGCGCAAGTTAGAAGCTGATCTGCCACTGCGACTACAATTCTCCAGTACCACATGTACATTTTATATTCAATTTCTATATTCAATTTCAAATTTCCTAATTTCAAGACTGGACTATGCAACATATAACCATTTTTTCAGAGAAAGGAAATTTTGCTTGCAGAAACAAGTAAACTGATGTAAGAATTGCTTCCAAACTCAAAAAAAAAAAAAAAAAAGGGAAGGGAAATGGTTACCTTGCGGTAGGTGGTGCCGTCGGACTCAACGATCCAACCGGCCTCGTTGCAGAGAGCTTTGAGGACCTCATTGTTATCGCAGTGTTTGGGGAGCTTGAAATTTTTGTACATCCGGAGAGTCGAGCCAACTCTCGTTTCGTACTCAAAAGGGAATTTGGTTCAAGGATTTCTTTGAGAAATGAGTTTTCGATTTTTCACTGCAAATCAGAGTCAAAGACGTAGGTTTTCTTCTTCCTTTTTTTAGGGCTAAATGGGGTCCATGACAAGGAAAGGGAAATAAAGGGTGACACGGTGTGTGAAACGGACGGGATTGGTACACATCAGCATCCAGCGTGTGAAAAAATGACACGCTGGCATAGGCTAAATGGAGATTGTGACGGTGATGACGTCGCCTGTTAGATAATGATCGATTTGGGAAGATCGATACTTTTGGGGTGTCATTTGTCCCTGCTTTTTTTTGAGGGGTGGATCCGTCCCTACCCATATTTGTCAGGGGGTGA